TAGCTGATCAAACACTTTTACACACTTCACCTACCCTAGCTCTTCCATTCCATCTTACTGCAGGAAGAGAATTAATAACAGCAGCGTTAGGTAACCTTTGCTGTGGAGAATGTGGCGTGAAACCTCTGTTAGTGGCGGACAGTGGTTGTGAAAGCCGCCTTTCGTTTTGATTCATTTGACAGGAAGATAGATAGATCGTTATATAAAATAATATTAATATCTGCATCTGCAAAGGATATCTTACCTTATCAGAAGAATTTGTGCACACGAAAAAACGATTAGGCACTATATAAGGAGGTTATGTTTGTTAAACAATATTGCTATGAATTTACAGATGGGACAGAACTACGAATCATATATGATAGGTTTGCTACTCCGAAAGTCATGCAATTGTCAAATTCGTCCCAATAAATTCAATATTTTGTTCAGTTCACGTGATAGCTAGAAGGCCGCTAATTGAAATGATTCGGTAATTATCCCTTTCACTCTCTAAATTGACTTATTCTAAAACTTAAAATAAAATGTCTTCAGAATTCTTCCAAGAAAGACGAAGTTGTGAAGCAAGCTAGCTTACTAGTTTGACTACGCTTCAAGTATTATTTCACTGTGCATTTATCTTCAATCTTCAAAAGGAGTGCATTGCTCATCGTCTTGATAGTTCAAACAGAATAAAGAAAGATACATGAAAGATAATACAAGCTTTTAGGATGCCATATATATTTGACTCAATGACAAATGTCGAAAAAATGGATCGATCTATCACAAGGAGATTCTGAGACGGGCAGAACACATTTTCAATGTTTCGTTGAACATGAGAACCTAGTAAGGGAGAACGATGTAGAATTTGATGTGGTATCCTTAGAAATGAATTCAATCAGAATGGCGTTCGATTACAGAGTGTACCAAAAAGCTGCCTGTTTGATGGGAAATGCGCTGGCTTTATTACTACATATCCACATACACTTTAGCATTAGCGGAGAAATGCGTGTGTTTTACGCAAATTTCTTTAAATTAGTAATATAAATAACTTTATTTTTAATCTGGTTTACTTGCGCAACTTCTAAT